GTGGTATATAGTGGATAGCCTATGTGTTCTTCCAGACTATCCTCTACATCTACATAAAATTTCATCGAAATCCGTTCAGCCATTTAGGCTACAAACACTAACAAACATACATCCATCCATGTAACCAATAACAAAGCATTTATAATATAAATAATATTAGTATGATTTACTCATCGCATCATACCACAGCACTAATCACATAGAATCCTAATGTTTCAAGCAGTCAAGAGTACTCTTAAGAATATTTTCACTAAAAATGTACTTCGACTGCTTGTAACTTGTTCGTTTACGGCTGTAACCAAATTTTAATCTGAATATATTGACAAAAAATTATAATGTTTTTCTCTATTACTATTGTGCACAATTTAAAACATATGAGTAGTATTAAGGAAAATATTTAATTAACATGTCATTTTTCTTAAAATAAAATTCTCTACCTTTGCCTCTAAAATTTTGTTCAAATCCTGGATATACTTCTTGTTAGTTAAAGAATTTCCATTAGTTGGTGACAGTTTCAAAAGACAATTAAATAGATATTCAATTGCATATAATAAACGTTTTTCAAGATCATAAAACGAAAGTCAACGAAGTGTCGTAGACGCTGCAATCTCAGTGAAAGCCATTAAGAGTTTGCGTTATACAAATTCTTTGAAGTTCCATTTATTGCTCCTTCGGAACTTTGTAGCCGCTGCACTCGCCGCTACCTCACTTTCTATTTAACTATTATTTAATGCTATATTAGTATTTTTTAATTCTCGTAAATGCTATCGCGGTGTGGTATTATGTTTTTTTAAAATAAAAAAGTCGAATTGGGCTTTCGTAGTCTTTACAAACATATCTTGTCGGTGTCATTTTATCAAATAAGATTTAAAGAGGTTTAGAGTAAGATATAGTTAAATAATTATGAGGTAAGTAACATCTTATTTCACTATTGCTTTTCAGACATCACCATCATCACAAAAGAAAGCATGCCCATCATTATTTCACTTAAATCAGCCAAAAGCACTTACTAATAAATTAATTCTAATTATTTATTTATTTAAATCTAGTTGATAAATTGTAATTTTAAATAATAAATTATTAATTCAATTTTAAAGAGTTTTCTTTCAAAGAACACTTGATCCCAGTTGCTCCAGATGATTGACTCCCATTCTATCTTTTGCCCTAACAGAAAACGCCACAAATCATATTCCCAACAACGCCTTAATGCTTTCTCAACTGAGCACCTTACAAAGTTCAGCGGCCTCTTTCCTTCCGGCGGCAACCAGTGCCAGGAGATTAACCAGTCGTATAGCGAGCCCGACTCCTACATCGACCTCAACCACAGCACTTTGAAGGCCACCTGCCCGCACGGCATCGCGGCCGAGGAGTTCGGCAAGGCGCACCAGAAGTGCGTCAAAAACCAATTCGGTGAAAACTCCGACTTGTTCGGTCACAAGCACGAGAGAATGTGCATTAAGTACAACCAGCGACCTTTGCAGAAGAGGTGAGACTAAATACTAGTAGTACCGGAGTAACTAACTCAACGGGATTAGGGCTTCCTTTTAACTTACTATTTTAAACTATGGAGAAAAATTGATACTAGAATTCATTTCAAACAATATTTTCAAAGTAATTGCCTTGTCCTTTGACTTAGTTTTTATAACCATTTAATTATTTACTTGCAAATGGTTATTTTATTAACCAATTATTTTCTTTTTACAAACCACACTTTCCTTACTCTAACCAAGCAATACTGCTACATATAACACGTAAATATAGTCAAACTGCATTAAACTCACTAACATTTAAACATTAGCAAACTTACGATAAAAAAACAAATTGGTATTTGGAGTGAACTAAAAAAATCTTCTCTTTATGTGTAACATTAACTGAACAAAGAACAATCACTGACACACGAACACGTCCCGCACTAGGAAGGGGCAGGACACTTCGATAACGTCAGTGAATTCCAGCGGACAGGACTCGGGCATAGCGGAGGCCGGCCGCTGCGCCTGCGGACACTCCCCCACACACACGTCGGAGGAAAGCAGCGGGTCTGTAGCTAAAAGTCATATCTAAATTCACGTGAAGGTTAATGTTTTTAAAATCAGATGATTATTCTAATCTAGATGAACGATTAAACCTAACGGTATACGTAATTTGGTCAATTTAATCATGCTATTATTATAAATGCGAAAGTTTAGATGCATGGATGTTTGTTTGTAGCCAAAACGGCTGGCGGGTTTCGATGAAAGGTATAGATGTAGAGGATAGTCTGGAATAACATATAAGCTACTCACTTTTTTTAATTCCACGCAGACAAAGTCGCAGTCGAAAGCTAGTGTTGAATAAAACGTCAAACAAAACATATTTATATACCTTTTAGACGCTGTTCAAATGTTCAAAAGAAGCCTAATTATAATAATTCAGTTGCAGTTACGAGGATTCCTTGAAATCGAACCACAATCTGGAGCCGCATCCGAAATTGTATCGAACTGAACCTGAAACTCGTTTTCTTAGACGAGCTTCTTTCGGTCACCAACCACTGGACGTGCGGAGATTTAACACTCGAAGACAATCATTCTCTGAAAATATTCAAAGGCATTTCCCGCCATTCGAAAAGCTGGGAACCGGGGGCAGATTGACACGACAAATATCCACGCCAAATGTCAATGTATCGCAATCATATTTTATGGGAGGTAAAAAGAATTTGCGAAGAATAGAGGCAGTCAAAGAGCCAGTTGTTGATTACGATCAGAGTGAAGCGGAAGATCTTTTCGATACAAGACTGGGTAGAAGGTTAAGTGGTCAGAATCGTAAAAGGGCAAGTTTTATGGAGTTGAATGGTGAAACTGCGGTGTTTGTGGCGAGCCCCGCCGCCGCCGAGATCATGCGGCGGCAGGCCAGTGAACGACTCGTGTTCGCGAGACCTTTATAACAGAAAGGAATTGTACAGATTATGCTTTAATTTATCTTGATAGATTCTGAATGTGTTGAAGAGAGAATGATGGTTATAAAAGTTTTAATAGGGCATTTAAAGTCGAAAGATTTCAATTAATTATTGCTATACGAATTCAAACAGACTCAGTCTAATTATGAGGAACTGTACGTCATGAGTAAATAGAAGTCATTTAATGGACCTCAGCTCCAATGGTTTTTAAGTTGTTTTGAGCTTTTGTTTAAATTAATTCTTTTTGTAATTAATTATTTAAATTTTAAAATTAATTTCGAAATGTTACCACAATGTGTATGTTAAGTTATAAGTTAAGACTAATATATTGTATATTGTAAATAATGTATTGCCTTTGGAATAAAATTAGTCCAAAGAGAAACATTTTGTGTAGTGCTTATCTAAGTAAGTGCCATTTGGGATAGATCTTAATAGAGGATCTTTTAACATTAACCACCTTTTTAGGTTTAAATTGTGTAAAATATATTTATGTATAAAACGTTTTAAATGTAAGTCATTGTAAATAATATATGTATTTTTATAAGAAATAAACTGTGAAATTGTTATTATTTTTGTCTTTTTTTTTAAATAACAGCTTAAAACCACACCGTTCAATCCTACAGTAACACTGGACTACACCGGATGATTTTAATTAACAATTTGTTTATTAGTAAATAATAAAGTAGTTATAATAATTAGACATTATACATTCGAAATATAAAATGAAATAAGGCTCTTTTTAGTTTTCTTTAAATATTAATCTAGTAGGTAACCAACGAATGACATAAATCAGTACCGCTTCAAATCAAACTCATATTTTCCACAATTTCTATAGTAAATGTGAATCTCGACGTATCGACGTGATTAAATTTCCGCTTCAATAATCATGACGTCACATGCAGAATATAAAACAACCGTATTGACAACATACATATATCTTTGCTCGACTTGCTCAGCACAATATCACGATATGTCTCCACGTACGAAACTCAAAAACACGCAGCATTTTGATCAATGCCAACAATATAGCTCTCAGTTGAGTTATGTGACAGAATAAACAAAACCACTTCGATCCAGCTCTTAAAAAAAATATGTGGAGAAGGTTTTCTGGCCATTAATATTGTCCATTTCTTGTCTATTCTCCGATAAATATTAGAAGAAATACGATCTATGTTTAAACTGGTCATTGAACTTTGAACTTAACACTTGAAGCAAGTAACATTTTAGGCTTAAACTTAAGTGTTGAATGAACGATTTGGTTACAAGTTCCTAAACAACGCTAAACGTATCGTAATCTATACAGATTGTAGACTTACGAAATAACTATGTAAATCCGTAATTAAATACATGAGTCTCTAGACCTTAGATTCTTCACAGACATCTAATAAGTGTAAAATCAATGGAAGAAACCATTCGGAAATTAGGCAAATTTCTCTCGTTCAACTCTACAAAATAATAGATTTCTTATTGACTTAAATCCACATTTTAATTAACGAAAAAAGCTATCTAAAACTACGTGCAAATCGTGAAATTCCTGATTGTCGTCTACGAACCTTAATTGGAAACGAAGTACCTAAAATTATATTGAACGAGCCGCAAATTGAATCCGAATTATCCAACTCTATTCAGACAACGATTTCTTTGGTCCTTTTAATTTCCACGAGTAATTAGAAGGTAAGTTGAAAATGATTAATCCATGCCGTTAATACTGCAAAGGGTTTCATAAGCCGCTTGGGACTGGACATGTCTAGATGTGATTTGGTCAAAGCAAACCATTCAGTAAGACTGTAAGGTCAATGAACTCAATTCTATGGTTTCATTTTTTTATCCAGACGTACAATAAACAGAATTTCTTGATAATAGTGGACCCATAAGCATCCGAAGCACAGATGCGCAGTACAGGAGATGATGATGATGTTCAAAAGGTAAATCTACTTCTCTTTCCTATATGTTTCTCATAAAAATTATATAACTTGTAGAACACTATAATTATGCTTCAGACAATGTATGTATAATCCAAAATCAAAAAATCCTTAGCAACTAAGTACCCAAACATAACAAATCTCGCGGAGATGTAGCCTGAAAGTGGTTGTTGTCTCCCTGAGTCTATGATCGTAAACGGGTCCTTTTAAGATGGCGGTAAAAATTAATGGACGATAATACCGGACTCGGCCATTCATTTACTGAGCCTTTTTTGGGTTTACGACATTTTTACGAGAAGAAAAATACATAGGCGTATGTCGCCGAGGTGGAGGAAAGAGCAGGCAATCACTGTGTTTGATTTATTGCACACCTTCTAAAGGTGAATGTCGCCCTCATTTCCGGTCTTTAAAAAATGCATAGACGTATACGAATAATAAATGGATACGGTTGCCTTACTGACTTAGTTAAAGCAACATTCTTAGCGACATAATACACTTGTATTACACACAAGTATAGTGACAAGACAATCACTGGTTATATTGCGTTTTTATTATAAAACTTGTTAATAAACCTTACTAATAAACCTAGTAACATTAGAATTCACACTCAAATCTTTAACTAAAAAGTTAAAGAGCAGTACAAAAGTGCTTAGCTCTCCCTAGTCCGAATACAGCAGACTTAACCGCAAAACTAGAAGACGTCGACTATCCTATCGCCACCAGTATTGGCCGATAAATACAAAGATATATGCGAGTAAAACGCAACCTCTTATCCCTGGGTTTTTCAATCTAAACTTTTACAACACTCTTGCAAAGGGTTGAACGAACTTTGTACAACTGAAAAGTTAAGGCGCGGACACATTAAAGTGGTTAGATGAACAATGTAAACAATAAATGATGTGATAAATAATACACTACTAAGAACATCTTTTGCTAAAGATTTTTTTCTGGTAATAACTGTTTTATAGTTCTGACATGAAAATAATTTAAGTCGGCCTCAATTGAAGAACTTTCATCGCTGTAGTGGATGCCAAGCTTTATTTTGCAAACTTTGCCAAACAATTTAAGCATTAGTCAATTGAATAGCAGTTTTTCGTATGATAATAAAATTTCCGGCCCCGAAATGTCACTTATCTCCCTAATTGTGGAGTGAAATTTATTTTATGCGATTTTATCTTCATTAAAGTAAATTCAAGATGTAAAATTCTTTTATTTCAAGATAAATCTTTTAGTAGGGTTACAGTTAAAGTAGACGAAAATACATCGCAAATTTAAACATTTTAAATTACTAGATAATTATGAATCCAAATAACTAAAAAAAAATGGTACACTAAAGGCCGAATATTGAAACGACATTTAAACATGTGAAGATTTAATTGATGTTTAAATTCCATTAAAATAACGTCGTGTCAGATTGTAAGCGCTTACAAGTATTAAAGATTCTTTTAAGTATTCAGCCATGAGAGAAACAGAATATTACTTAAGTGGTATGAATTTACATGTAACTCATATTTTTCTTAAACAGCTGCCATTTTAAAGTATCCAGCGCAAAGAATGCTGACAGACGCTTGATATTCGATATTTTTATCGCAAATGTTATTTCAGTGTCTGCGTGGGCTAGTAACTTAAGTCTAACTTATAAACTGTCACATCTACTTATTGCTCAGCCATCTCATGCATTTTGTTAAATTCACGGAAACTTTTTTACTCCATAAAAACAGCATTTCCAATCCAACTTATAAACAAAAGATATTGCTAAGTTATTCTACCTCGGATGCTTTACTTGTGTTTCTAAAAAAAATCTATTTAGTGAAAATCGATCATATAACAATACCTTGCTTTCAAAGGGTCTAGGTAATGTTTGAAAATCAATAAAGATAACTTAATTCCAACTTAATCCAACATTAACATAATAGATTATTGAGACAATATCAGAGGGCATCTTAGAATACCACTTATTAAGTAAATAAGACGTTTTTACTCGTATTATCGTGCGTTACAGACATGTTAAGCACTTAATATAAAATGGGGGATTAAGTTAAGCCGTGTTACTCGTAAACTGGGCCTCGGCTAACCCTAATGGCTCACTTGTACTATCGCACCACACTTACTATAACTTAGGATTAAAACTGATTTATTGACTTGTGTTACACTGATACGATATTGTATTAATTACGAGTAGTAGGCTTTTTTGTTATAAAATCAAATCTTTACTGAAACATTTAAACATGCAACAGCGTCTTAAATCTTAATGTCATGCTTAAGCTCCAAATCTATACTAATATAATAAAGCGTAAACACACACTTCTTTGTTGCCTAAGATGTCAGCAATTACAGCATGTTTATGAATAGTTTTTTTTTATAAAAAACCGTACTACCCCTCACGCTTTAGGCTATATATTTTCACGCCATTAAACTTAGGGGGTAAATATTTTGGATAAAAACCCTAATGTGGGAAAGAGACCATAAGTTGCTGCCAACATCAAGGAAGCAAGATTGCCAAGATTTGTCATGTCATGTCATTTTGACATTTGCTATTGATAATTTGACAAATGTAAACAATAAAATAATTTTATGTTGATGAAATCACACGGGAACAGCTAGTTTAATTATAATATTGATATCTGTTAGATTACAAACGGCATTAACGAAGCGAATTATTTAAGAATCGTCTTAGTATTGACCCGTAACACTTATTAATGGACTGGTTATAATATATTTTAAAAATTAAAATAATCAAGAGACTTCTATAATTTAGTTTAATATAATACCAATAGTATTATTCCAAGGGCAATATGATACGTGATGATGTGAGAGTTTATTAAAATTTAAAGTTAAATAGAGTCCTCCGTACAGCTCCATGTGTTTAAATCCTTGTAACTGGCTGAAAATCACGTTTGCCGCAGCCTCGCGTGCGATATTCCGAGATTGTGTTAACTTGGGCTTCTATTGCTCAAATATCACCAGTTTTTAGTTCCAAATAAAATAAATTCACATATGTTTTATCTATACTAACATTAAAAAAGGAAAGATTTGTATTTTTAAATGTATTGAAATAACTAAAACTGCTGTGTCGATTTCAAAAATTCTTTTACTATTAAGAAGCTATGTTATCGCCCAGTAACAAACGAAGTCAATAGATAGTATGAACATATTTTTAGTGAAAGCCGAAGGTTACATTCGCTTCTTTCCAATTCCGTAACATTCACAGAAGACGCTGGTTGTAAGGGTTAGGGGAGCGGGAAGAAACCAACGTACTTATTCATGCCAACGACAACGTAAGATTGTACACGTTTATATTAGGATGCTAGTAAGAAAATTGTGGTGTTCCGTATACAATTAGATATTTATCAAGTTTAGGCTATTTTAATGGTAATTTATTCACTCGGACGAACCAGAACATAT